AACGAACCGGTGGCCCGTGGCTCGCTCGCCCGCCCACCTCCGGCGCGGTCGTGCAGCCCGGTGGCAGGTGGGCCACTTTGGCTGCCATCGCTTCCCGGGGAGTAAGCTGTGCATACAGCGGAGCCTGCTTCCAAGCAGAGACGGGGGGAGCTATGTTCGTTGTGTTGCCGGCTTCCCAGGCACCCGAAAAGCATGCAAACACAAATGAAAAGCTGATACACCTAGCCCAGTGTTTGATTTCAAGAATCGGAGCTAAAACCGCAGCCGTGAACCGTTGTTTTTAAGGTCGCTTTTTTTCTGTCAGCCCACAGGCTAGTTCAGCGGTTGTCCTCACTCCTTAATGAGTGGCCGCAATCCTGCACACCTACCCCTACTCAAAAGTAGGCCTTGCTGGGTTCAGTGGGACTTGCTTCCAGTCAGCGGGTGTATATAGGCTTGTAGCCGTGTCTCCCGCCACATCGAGACTTGCAGTGTGTGACGCCTGCCCTGAACCCCCCCACCTCTCCTCGCCGAAGATAGGGGTTACCTGATCCTGCAGCTGTCACTGTTGTCCAGGGTATTATTTGTAGCCTCCGCCCAAACCCTTTCTCAGCCCTCCTTAGGAATTCTTTATTTCCCCCTCGGTTTCCTAGGCTTTGAAAGGCTGCCGCGACCGTTATCAAGGACAGAATTCGATCCGCTTTCGAATCTGCTGCGGTTTACACCATTTCCGAGATAGCAAAAGATGTAAAGTGTGTTCCACCTTTTCCTTTCTTCGTCCCAGGTGGAAACTTTGTAGCTACAAAATAGGCGAAGTAGATCGCCCTTGTATAGTCAGCTGCATTTCATTTTCCCGTCATTGTGGGACCGGACGCTTGTGGAAGTGTGTTACTTGTATCTAGATGTTTGTCTTCCACAGCTTTCTCCATGTGTTACGATTTGGGAGGCACGATATTTAAGTTTATTCATGTTTCTGCCCTCCTTATACTGTATATTGCTTCATCGCTGCTCGCATACGATTTTCCTCCGTAACATAACCATTCTCTCAAACCTACAAAACAACAGTTCTAAATATAAATACTGTGTTCCCTTATTTTTTGATAAAATATGCGTAGGATGGGACAATAAATAGGATAGACATGTTTCCTGTTGGTTGCGCTCCAACTATGTTTTGCCGGAAAAACGGCGCTGATTTCAAAGGAACTTGTTAATCACGGGCGCCCATTTCCGTGGACGTCTGCTTAGGTTTCAACAGGTCTTATCCCGTTAGAAGTGCCCATAGGATTGTAGACTTGTTTTGTAGTAAGTCATTGCAATCCACGTGTAGAATATATGAACATAAATATGGACAAAAATATTCTCTGTTTCTGTATTTCTCATTTCTTTGACAAAAAAAATACTGGTCATATGGCATACCTGTAAATATGAGTTGGAAGTACTGCAGTTTTTATATTTATTATTGTAAATGAATTTTAGGCTACAGTTCTATTTTACATATACTTGTCTGAGTGAAATCTATTGAACTTACTTTAAGTAACGAATACACAGAATTGCTTTGTCAATTGTTTTGAAGATCAAGATCTTAATTGTTCTTTCTTACAAACTGAGAGAAACTGTTGTTTCACAAAGCTAGTGTTAGATAAAATGTCCTGAAATACAGGAGAAAGTATTTGGCTTGAGTTAGTATTAGCATCATAGTCTTTGAGGAGGCACTGTTGTTTTGACAACTGATGTAAATAGAATATAAATTAAGCATCTGAAATCTGTGAAGTTTTCTAATGTATAACTTAAGTGCTTTGTTGAAAATCAGTTATTTTCAAGTCATAAAAACCTCAGTACAGTATCACACAGCCCAATCTGAAACATGTTTCCTTGGTTTTAAGTCCCACAGACTTCAATGGGATTTATTTTTGGTAGGTATTAGGTAGGTACAGTATTAGAGAATATACTATAATATACTACTATAAAATATATAAAGAATATATAATATCTGTTGAAGCTAGAACATGGTGTTGGCTGGATAGCTCTGTGGTTTAGATATCTGGCTGCAGAGCAAGAGGTAGGGAACTTGACTCCTCACTCTGCCTCCAGGGATAAGATCCAGCCTATGTAATCATGGGCAACCTGCACAATCCATTATCCCCTGAAAAAGGTAACCATAAGTCAGAATTGACTTTATGGCACATGATGATGATTAATGATGATGACAGAACATGATCTATAATTATCATCACCTTAGAACTGCAGAGCTGGAAAGGGAATCTATGGATCGAGTCCAACCCCTGTCAAGCAGGCACAGTGGAAAAATGAACTCCCAATCTCTGATTCTGCAGCCAGATACCTAAGCTATCAAGCTATCCAGCAGTTGATAAGCACTTTTAGCTAAAGGTTCTTTAGGATGTTTTAAAGGGTAGACTTGATGTGACAGAGGTAGCAACTGTTGTTGTTGTCTAACCCATTTCCATTTTAAAAGGAACCTTGGTTTTTAGAAGTAATTCGATAATGGGTGAAATAAGCTCAATCCTCTTTAGTTTACTCCCCCACCTTACTTGAAACATATTTCTTCCAGTTCTCTTTCATTCTCAGGATTGCAGCCATGTCTGTGGCAAGAGAGCCCATAGATGTAAGATGCTCCTTACCTGAATATTCTTTATGTTATAAAAAGTAGAACTTCACACACTTTGTTACCAAGTATGCTCTTCAGAGCCCATGTGTGCA